ACGAATAAGATGCATGTTGTAATTTCAGCATTGCTCATAGAGGGCGCCACTTACGACCAATTTTACCGAAAATTTAGTTAATAACTTTTTACCCTGTATATTTCAAAACTTCAAATTCAAAACCTGAAAAAGCTATCATTTTTCCATTAATAATGTACTCTTGTTTCATTTCGGTATCTCGATCCGTTTTCGAGAAAAATCGATTTAACGAACACTATGTTTTGATAATACGAGAAATTAAAAGCGAAACAAACCAAGTGTTTCTTCGTGTTATTACAACAATTAACAATAAAACAAATGAAATTCGTAATAATGATTTAAAGTCAGTGTTCGAAGAATCCACCGTTGACATTTACACACTTTACACAACGTTTTCTGAGAGATCTTCGAGTTTGAAACAACTTATTGGGATTGCGTTTGACTTCGTTGGCAGCGATTTGTATTCTTTGCCACAACTCTGTATCAGTGTCAACGGTGGATTCTTCGAATAACTACTTTAAATTATAATTACGTATTTTATTTGTTTTATTGTTAATTGTTGTAATAACACGAAGAAACACTTGGTTTGTTTCGCTTTAAATTTCTCATATTATCAAAACATAGTGTTTGTTAAATCGATTTTTCTCAAAAACAGATCGAGATACCGAAATGAAACAAGGGTACATAATTAATGGAAAAATGATTGCTCTTTCAGGTTTTGAATCAAGTTTCATGTTAGACATACAGGGTAAAAAGTTATTAACTAAATTTTCGGTAAAATTGGTCGTAAGTGGCCCTCTATGAGCAATGCTAAAATTACAACATGCATCTTATTCAACTTTTCAAGTTCCTAACCTGCATATTTTCAGAATAATCGCAAAAAAAAAACATTTAAAATTTTAATTTTCAACACCCTGTATTTCCGAAACTATCAACTTTCGGATAAGGCATGTTTGCGCCAATGGTCACCATTTCACGTGTAGTATCTTCAGATTTCGATTTTCCCATTGTTAATGAATCACCGTGTATAGTACTTGATTCACATTAGGACTTTGAGGTAGCTCATATGTTTTAATAGATATATTCGAGAGGGTAAAATTAATATTGAGTTACCTACGTAATTTATCAATTTATTAAAGAAAAAGTATATAACATAAAAATGCATTAGATTCATTAGCATCTATTCCTTGAAACAATAATTATGCACTAAAAATTAATTAATAAATAAATAATGTACTTGTTACTAACGTTTTATTTCTTATGGTGAGGCACAGATTAAATATTTGCAATCATTATAAGAACGATAAATGATCTTAATGTCCTTGGTTCTTTGTTTATAATTAGATACAATATTTAATAACTGCTGCTACTAATCATAAAACATGATGAACGTATATCTCAAAGGCTCCGTTTTTATAATAATTAATCCAAGACTTTCAGGCAAACTTCTAATAGAACAAGATGTTCGCAGAATGTTTAGTCTAAAGGATGCTTTAACTGAATAAATTAATAAAAGTATTTAGGTATTAAAAATTATCTTTTCGTTCATTGAGACTTGGATAAACTTGTTTCGAAAAATATGTAGGTATATTATTTAAAATTTTCTCCTTATTTTTTTATCTTTTATTCTTTCAAAGGACAAAATACTTTTTCTTATCAAATCGTAAAAGTACCATCAAATTAAAATAATGTAATATTTATACAATATTATTCGCATGCACAAATACATATAGGTATCTTTAAAATCATCCCACGTTAAATATGATTAGACATATGCATATGGGCGTTATGTAATGCTATAGAACATATCTAATAGGTGGTATCCAAAGTAGGAAGTCATATTTCTTGTGTAATATGAAACGTTGTTTGTTAAATAATATTGTTGCAAATATTATAATTAAGATCGTTGCAAATGTTAAATATGTTTAGAAAATATTGTTAGACAAAGTTAAACAACACAAAATTTTTATAATGTTCCTTAACGTAAATTTATTGCTGGAATGTAAAATTTGGATACAGAAGGCCAGCATTCTACACTAGGGAAATAGTGCAGTGTGTTATGCAAAAAACTACGGAAATACTTGAAGTTACGTAACTTTAAATTTGCTTTTAAATATGTCAAAACTGTTTAGTCTTAGATCAAAGATCCAGTAAAAGTTTGTGAGATCATCTTATTTTCTACTTAAATAAGTGTGCGAAATGCAAAATTTATAATTTAGGTTTTAATTAAATGTTGAAATGTCACAGTGGTAAAACAACTTTTTGTATTTTTGTCGATAGAATCATTTTATATTAATTTTCTATTTGAATAGTTTTGGAGAGAGTCTAAATTAAAGATTACTAATTGTTCATTATCATTAATAAAATGTTTTTGTCAACATTGCAAATGTTGTTAAGACAATTATTATTATATACATACACTGAATATATAATTACTTTTTAATAATCTGTAATTATTTCTATAGTTTATTTTTATATTTAAGTTTGGAAAATAAAGAAAATATTATTATTAATGCATGTTTATTTAATTTTATACCCATAATAATTTTCTCTTTAATCTCTAGAATTTAACTTTCTATAAATATTTAACTATTATAATAATCTGCTAAGATTTAAATATAATTACTTTGTAAAAAAATTAAGAAAACATACTTCATTATATTATTTCTTGCAAATTGGGAATTAGTAATGTAAACACTAACTATCGTTATATTATAAACAATTATAACAAATACTGTTAAAAATATAGATCTTAACTTATTGTAGTTAAGAAGACAGAAAGTTTTAGTATAAGTCAAACTGAACACCAATATTTTTTAAGCTGATTGTAATTTATCAATAAATAAAATAAAAATATACCAATACAGTGAACATTTCCGAACTTACTTAGATTGTTCTGTTGCTATTTATTACAACTGTTAAAATAAAAAAATTGTGTTATAAATGGAAGGCCGCTTTAGCAATATGAAAAATGTATTATTCAAAAATACGTAAATATTCCATGTACTTTTTGCGTAAGTAAAAGTTAATTTTTCTATTTCTATTTACTTTTATCTTCATACCTTTTATCTTTTTATTTATTTGATTAGTGTTTTTTCTTGCCTGCTTGTTTTTGCCATATAAAAATAATTTTTTATTCAAATAAATAATCTCTCAGTGTGAGATATTTGTGGTTATATTGTTAGAGTTACTAATGTATAAAATCAATTCTTGACTGATTCTTTTGGTGTAAAAGTTTATTTACTTAAAAAATTGTTGTTTTCAGTTTGTCACAAATATCCAATAGAACAAAAACAATTTATAATCAATATTAAAATTAAAAAAATAGATTCCAGTAAAATGCCCATACTTTAACGTCTGCAAATAAATAATTTGACATTTATACCGTTTAACAAATATTTTTACGTCTGAAAAAATGTAGGTATATTGAAGTCCATACATACAAGGTGCCCCGATTTACAACTATACCATTAATACAGTACATAAACAACAGATGACGGTCAACATTTTTTTTATTAAGTGGATCATAAAAATACTCATATTTGGGAAATGTTCAGAATTACAAATACTAAGCTGGCTGAATTTGTTAGGATCTGATCTGATATTTGCTACACCTCTCATAATCCATACCAATTTCTATAAGATTCATTTATTATTTATTTTTCATTCAAATATATACATATGTAACAGTTTTTGGCATAAGTTAATTTATTTAAATTATTGTATTGTTTGCCCAATTTATTTTTTCCGAATTAATTTCGAAAAAGGGTCAGTTTTGCTTCTTTTTTCGCACAGACAATTTACTCACGCTCTTTCTTGCATAGTAATTGGCTCTTAATAATAAAAAAAATGTTGCAGAAGGCTAAGCTAAGAGTAGTAACATGAAACTAACAATTTTTTCAAAAAAAAATACCTCTAAGAAAAAGATCAAAATAAGTTTAGTATTCGTAATTTTGGAAGTTATTAAATCTGCACATTCTTAGTGTCTATTTAATAAAAAATATTTGATTTCGTTCGTTTTTTACTTACTACGTTAATAGTATCAACATGTATCTTTTATCGTCGTATTTTATTTATATACAGGGTATTAATTGAGTATGTACAATAAATTCAATGTACGACTATTTGAGTGATTTTAAGAGAAAAAGTTCATATAAACATTGGTTCTCAGATGCTTCGTTTTCAAGATACATTAAACTTTTATAAAAGTTGCTATTTCGTAAATATCTTAAATACCCTTTACCCAATTTTGTTGTAATTTGGCAGTGTTATTTGTAGTGTTAAGGGGCTAATTTAACCCTAACTTAATTAGATTTGTTAAGTCCAACGGTACCTTAACAAATATTTTTAATAATGTTTCTTGTGTGGTTCTGGGATATGCAGTTAGGTGGATTTTATTTTTTTTATCTCCAAAAATTAATCAAGATACGAAAAACATTCAAGAGGCAAAAAAGTTGTGTTTTTAGTAAATATATAAAAATGGCAAAAAAGTCAATGGGGTACATTTTTTTGTCAAAAATATTCGTTAAGGTACCGCTCGGGACCGTCACTGGACTTAACAAATCTAATCATGTAAGGATTAAATTAGCTTAACCCCTTAACACAGCAGGTAACACTGCCAAATTACAACAAAATTGGGTAAAGGGTATTTAAGATATTTATGATATAGCAATTTTTTTACAAAAGTTTAACACCCTGTATCTTGAAAACGAAGCATCTGCGGAACAATGTTTATATGAATTTTTTGTCTTAAAATCACTCAAATGATCGTCTGTTGAATTTATTGTACATACTTAATTAACACCCTGTATATTTATAACAAAATCAATTTTTTATTATTCTGTACTTTCTAAATTTGCTTTTTTATTTTCTAAAATCTATTCAGCGAAGCATTAGTATTGAATATGCCCGAAACAATAGCCCAGAAACACTAAAACGTTACTCTCGGCGTCTCAGTAGAGGCACTTCACTATCCTGCCACAAAAGCTCCGTTGTAAAAGGACTCAAAGCTGGCCACTCACCGATAAAACATAGGGCGATCACAAATGCAACAATGGGCCCAATCCCGGCCATCGTGTTGCTGCACAACTGTCTGGTTTCTCACTAACACTGCCTGGCCACCTTCTGTGTCTTTCACTTTAAATCTCATATATGTTGGAAATATACAAGAACTTGACTGTATACCTGCGAACGGTCCCCTCTTTTTGCATTCTCACCGCTCGAACGGGCTCTCTTGTTCCTCCTGATCACCCGGAATGCATCTTTTATTTTTACCGGACGATCTGCTGTCGGTCTGATGCAGCTCGTTAATTTATTTATTCGAAACCTATTCACCGCCGGCCAAATCTAAAGTGTACGGCGATTGTCCAGAGAAAGGACAGCTTATATAAAATTGTATTTCTAAGCGGTTCATTGGTATGCACCGAGTGAAATTTGAGAGTAGGATGAATTTCGCCTTTTCTGTCGGCAAAAATATGATAATTATTATTCTTTATATCCTAGAATATTATTCGATTGGATTGTATAACGATGATCAGATTATGTAGATACACTGGAGTAAAACTATATTTCTATATCTTCTGTACACTCTCTTTTTATACAGGGTACCCATAGCTACATTCCATAGCTCTGATAATTATCAATAATGCAAAAAATAATAGTCACACCAAATCAATTTTCTCATATTTTAAAGTCAATTTTAATTATACAGATTGTTTCATTTTTTTGTAGGCCGAACTTTCTCAATTGTACATATGTACATATTTCCGTTTTTTAATTTCTCATCGAATTTAATAGTAATAATGCATTTATTGCCCAACAGAACAAATGTTCCAATTACAGGACAAAAAAGTATAGACATTCAAGAATAAACATTAAAAATATAAAAAATCATAATTCTAAATAAATACAAATAGATATATGAACTACAAAATACGTTCTACAATATCAGTAAATAAAAAAATCAGTTGCTACAGATAACAAATTATTTATGGTACAGTGGTTTATATCACGCTGCATAGATATTAAATTATAATTGTTTGCCATGACATAGATGGGAAATTTAAGAGGTATATTGGTTTTAGCATCCCCACAATAGAACATGCAATCAGTACGAGACCCATGTCTAGGAACTGGTGTATTGAAGGAACCCAATAGATATGCTGAGTCAACATTGCCATGAAAAAGATTAAATAAGAAAGATAGAGTATTATTCTAGTCTGCAAAGACTGAATTTTGAATCGGTCTAACAGCAGCCTATGTTCATATCCTCTATTTGGATAATAACCATCAATTCGAAAGCTTAAAAATTTAAGAAAAGACGTTGAACTTTTTCAAGCTTGTTATTATGTACATGGTAGTAAGGGTACCATATAAGGCTGCAGTATTCTAATTTAGAACGAACTAAAGAGTAAAACAGACATTTCAATGCAGTAACGTAACTTGAATTTCTTACTATAAAACTCAAAGCTCTATTAGCCGCATTTATAATTACATTTATACAGGGTGTCCGGTAACTACGGNACAGGACAAAAAAGTATAGACATTCAAGAATAAACATTAAAAATATAAAAAATCATAATTCTAAATAAATACAAATAGATATATGAACTACAAAATAGGTTCTACAATATCAGTAAATAAAAAATTCAGTTGCTACAGATAACAAATTATTTATGTTACAGTGGTTTATATCACAGTGCATAGATATTAAATTATAATTGTTTGCCATGACATAGATGGGAGATTTAAGAGGTATATTGGTTTTAGCATTTCCACAATAGAACATGCAATCAGTACGAGACCCATGTCTAGGAACTGGTGTATTGAAGGAACCCAATAGATATGCTGAGTCAACACTGGCATGAAAAAGGTTAAATAAGAAAGATAGAGTATTCTTCTAGTCTGCAAAGACTGAATTTTGAATCGGTCTAGCAGCAGCCTATGTTCATATCCTCTATTTGGATAATAACCATCAATTCGAAAGCTTAAAAATTTAAGAAAAGACCGTTGAACTTTTTCAAGCTTGTTATTATGTACATGGTAGTAAGGGTACCATATAAGGCTGCAGTATTCTAATTTAGAACGAACTAAAGAGTAAAACAGACATTTCAATGCAGTAACGTAACTTGAATTTCTTACTATAAAACTCAAAGCTCTATTAGCCGCATTTATAATTACATTTATACAGGGTGTCCGGTAACTACGGGGAAAAAATAAAGGATTATATAGAACAGGTCAAGAGAGTGCTAGTACTTCATATAAACTTTTTACCTAGGTGCCATTGTTGAGGAGTTATTGTCACTCAAAGTAAGAAGTTGAAAAATGAATAATTTCTAAAGGGTTATTTTGACTAACTTGAAATTTGGGGGATCAAAGCAACTCATTAAATTTTTGTATTTTGTGTATAGCCACAACTGGGGACACAACGCAACAAAAACAAGTTAAGAATGAAACATATTGATTAAAACATGTTACTTCAGTAAATGCTCGATATGTCCTCCATCTAGTTCAATGCACTTCCTTATTCTTTTAAGATTATTTTGTTGCACTCTAAATAGTATTTGTGGATTCTGTTTAATTTCATTACAATGATGTTCTGTTCTTGCCATCAACTCTTCTCTTGTATAAACCGAAATTGAATACACCAATTCTTTTAGGTAACCCCACAGGAAGAAGTCAAGGGGGTTAAGACCTGGTGACCTAGGTGCCCATAAGTGTGGTCTGCCTCGCCCAATCCACCTATCACCAAATGTTACGTTGAGGCAATTTCTAACTTCACGACTGAAGTGGGGCGGTGTCCCATCATGCATGAAATACATCTCTTGTCTTGTTTGCAATGGTACATTTTCTAGTAGTAGATGTTGTAAAAAAATTAAATATCGGGCACCGTTTAATCTATCCGGTAAGAAAAAGGGGCCTATTAATTGGTTACCGATTACTCCTGCCCATTACATTAACTATGAATCTTTGCTGGTGTTTGCCTTGAATGACTAAATATATACACAAAACACAAAATACAAAAATTTCATTATCTTGACAACCGTTAATTTTTTCAGAAGTCATGAGGTATACCTTTTTTATAGAAAAGTAACAGGGCTATCAGCCTGCGAGGGCGAAATGTTAAATTTGACAGCTCTGTCAAATTTGCGTAAATTTTAGAACATAATTTCGACCGTCCTTGTATAATAAAATATATTTGATTCAATTTTAAATGTACAAAGATACATTTGAATGAGTTGCTTTGATCCCCCAAATTTCAAGTTAATCAAAATAACCCTTAAGAAATTATGAGCAATATTCATTTTTCAACTTCTTACTTTGAGTGACAATAACTCCTCAACAATGGCACCTAGGTAAAAAGTTTATATGAAGTACTAGCACTCGTTTGACCTGCTCTATATAACCCTTTAATTTTTCCCCGTAGTTACCGGACACCCTGTATTATTAGTGAAGGACAGTCTATTGTCATATATTACACCTAAATCCTTAACATTATCGCAACGTGCCAGTAACGCATTTTCAAGGGTGTAGTTAAATATTAACGGCTCTTTTTTGGAAGTAAATGAGCAGACCTTACTCTTATCTATATTAATAGGTAATTGATTATTCTCACATCATCTACTTACAAGACCTACCTGCTCTTGCAGTATTAAACAATCTTCTAAATTAGATATGTTCAGAAATAACTTCAAGTCGTCGTCAAAAAATAGATGATTAGATTTTAGAGACAAAGATAAATCATTAATAACACAGGCCGAAAAAAATTAAAAAAAAAAATTCCAGAGATCAGACACTACGCTTCCAAAGGAATTTGGCGCGCTGAATCCGAATCTTTCCTCAGAATTGATCCATCACCCTAGGTTTCCGAGATATTCTAACCTAAAAGTGCAAAAAACACGTACTTTTGCTATATTCAAGGTTATGTAACTTGACGAAAAAATTTTTTTTCTCAAAACTGAAAACATCATTGGAAACGACTATCTTTCCCCTTCAAAACGCATTTTTTTATTTGGAAAAAGCTCTATTTTTCGCGGAGATATCGTCAATTTAAGATGACCAGTATGGCTATATTATTACATCATGGCTAACCCCATAACACTGAGCGCTGCTAGCCCTAATTGTTAGGAACGTTAACCCCAAGCCCTATAACCCCACAACACTAAGCGGAGCGAGCCCTCATCGTCAGGAAGGTTAACTTCAAGCCCTATAACCCAATAACACTAAGCGCTGCGAGCCCTAATCGTCAGGAAGGTTAACCCCAAGCCCTATATGTCTGGAAGGTTAATCCCAAGCCCTATAACCCCACAACACTAAGCGCTGTGAGCCCTAATCGTCAGGAAGGTTAACTTCAAGCCCTATTACCCAATAACACTAAGCGCTGCGAGCCCTCTAAGGCTCGTAGCGCTTAGTGATATTGTGTTATAGCTCGAGCCATGGTAATAAGGTAGCTATACTGATCATCTTTAATCGACGATATCTCCGCGAAAAATAAAGCTTTTTACAAATAAAAAAATGCGTTTTGAAGGGGAAAGATAGTAGTTTCCAATGATATTTTCAGTTTTGAGAAAAAAAATTTTTCGCCAAGTTACATAACCTTGAAAATAGCAAAAATACGTGTTTTTTGCACTTTTAGGTTAGAATATCTCGGAAACCTAGGGTGATGGAGCAATTCTGAAGCCAGATTCGGATTCAGCGCGGCAAATGCCTTCGGAAACGTAGTGTCTGATCTCTGGAATTTTTTCCTTGTTGGCCTGTGTAAATAAAATAAAAAGAAGTCTCCCTAAATTTAACCCTTGGGGTACTCCAGATGTCGTTATAAAATTGTCAGATTTAAATCCGTTGTATGAAACATATAGTTCACGTTGAGAAAGATAGGATTTAATGAGAAGATTATCGTTTAAGCCAAATAAACTCAACTTATTAAGAAGTGTGCCATAACTAACTTTGTCAAAGGCCTTCGAGAAATCTGTATACCTACACCACATCAACTTGCCCCTTGTTATCTATATGATCTGTATACTGAGTAAATTGAGCTAAATTGGTTACCGTGATCGTCTCGGAACAAATCCATGTTGATTTGAAGAAATATAACCCTTGACAATACTAAAGATTAGAGTATATAGAGACATCT